TTTCATACAAAATGTCTCACTCCCCTGATTGCACATGGACTTTCATATAAAATGCCTCAATCCCTTATCACACATGGACTTTCATACAAAATGTCTCACCCCCCTTATTGCACGTGGACTTTCATACAAAATGTCTCACTCCCCTGATTGCACATGGACTTTCATACAAAATGTCTCACCCCCCTTATCGCACATGGACTTTCATGCAAAATGTCCTGTCCCGCAGAACTCATCTCTTCCTATCTTGACTTAATCTTTTTCTCCGCTTAACCAGTCACTTCCCACTTACTTACACAACTCTTCTGAAGCATTATGTCATTTTCAGAATTTCTAGTTTGTGGGCTGTAGCTGCCTCCTCCTTACCATAGATGTGCGATCCCCTTTACATGATGGCATCAGGGCTCCCCACTTCTTCCTGGAAAAAAGGCCTGAACTGTCCCCATCCTGAGGAAGGGTCATCGGACCCGAAATTTTAACTCTGTTCCTTTCCTTCACAGATGCTGCCAGACCTGCTGACCTTTTCCAGCAACTTTGTTTTCGTCCCCATCCTCTATCACCCTCTTTGACTGGCTGAGCTCGTCCACACTTTGAACAACTTTTTCTTTTAACTCTTCTCACTTCCTTCAGGTCAAAAGTGTGGTCATAGTTACCCGCATGGTCTCCAGTTATGCCTCTCTCTTCATGAGGTTCATAGAACATTTCTTGTTCAAGTTGTATTCAGGCCTCCTCCTACCTTTCTGGTGCATTGATGACATCATCAGTGTTGATTCCCTTACTCGTCTGGAATTGGAAAAGTTAATCAATTTCTCTTCCAATTCCCACCCTGCTCTCATTTTCACCTGGTTCATGTCTGAATCCTCCCTTCCCTTCCTCGACATCTTTGTTTCTATTTTGGGGGACAGTATGGCCACTAATATCCACTACAAACCCACCAACTCCCATAGTTACCTTGATTATACATCCCCACATCCTGTTTCCTGTAAAGACTATTCCATTCTCCCAGTTTCTCTGTTTCTGTCATATCTGTTTCTATGATGCCAGCTTCTACAATGGGTCCTCCAAAATGTCCACCTTCTTCCTCAAGCCAGGATTACCCATGAGCATGTTTAATGGCCTCAATCATGTCCAACCCTCGCTCAGTTCTCCCCCTTTCTCTTCTGTCCCACCACAGTGATACGGTCCCCCTCATTCACACCTAGCATCCCACCAGAATCCACATCCAGAGGATCATTCACCGTCATACTCGCCACCTCCAGAGGGGTGCCACCACCAGACACATAGTCCCCTGCCCTTATCAGCCTTCTGCAGGGGCCATTACCTCCAGGATGCCTTGGTTACCTCTTCCTGCATTCCCAGCACTTCCCCATACCCCCACAGTACCATCCCAGGCCATCGCTTCCCATTCATTTCCTCCCTCCTCACTATCCAAGACCCCAGACACACCCTCCACATGAAGGAGTGATTATCTGCACCTCATTCAATCTATCTATCGTATTTGCGCTCACAATGTGGTCTGTTCTACATTGGAGAAATGAAACATGGGTGACCACTTGTAGAACACCTATGTTCTATCCACAAAAATGACCATGAGCTTCCCATTGCCTGCCACTTCGACACACCATTGTGTTCCTTGGCTAACATCTCTGTCTCAGGCTTGCTACAGTGCTCCAGCAAATCTCATCAGAAGAACAGCATCTCATTTTCCACTTGGGGACCCTACAGCCTTCAGGACTTAATATCGAGTTAAATAATTTCAGGACCTAAGCACCTTCTCCCACGTCCTCACTCCAGCTCCCAAACGCCAGATCATCACATGGGTGACATCTATAAACAATCCATTGTCAGCTACTGACGGTCCCCTTTGATTCTCCCAGGCTGACCTTTACCCAGTCCTTGGTCTGCCCAACTGTTGTTATCTCTCTGTCTCTGGGCTCCATCTTCACCTATCGTTTACTCTTGACACCTTTCCCCTACCCCAACTTTGGCATATATACCAACCTCTTCCTAGCTACACTCAGTTCTAAAGAAGGGTCACCGGACCCAAACATTAACTCTGCTTTTTCTCCACAGATGCTACCAGACCTGCTGAGACCTTCACACAAAATGTCCCACTCTCTGATCACATGTGGACTTTCATACAAAATGTGTCACTTCATGAACATATACGTATGAAAGCCCGTATGGGTGAAAGACGTTTTCCTCACATCTCTGTAAACCTCCAGCACTTTACCTTAAATCTATTCCTCCCAGCAACTGATCTTTTCATGAAGGGGACATGTTTCTTCTTGTCTACGCTCCCTAGGCCTCTCATAATTTATATATTTCAATCGTGCCCCCTGCCTTAGTCTTCTCTGCTCCAAGGAAAACAACCCCAGTCTATCCAACCTCTCTTCCCATCATTTATCTAACTGATTTGGATGAAAATATAGGAGGTATGGTTAGTAAGTTTGCAGATGACACCAAAAGTGGTGATATAATTGTCAGTGAAGAAGGTTATCTGAGATTACAAAGAGATCTTGATTAATTGGGTCAGTGGGCTGAGGAGTGGCAAATTGAGTGTAAGTTGGATAAATGCAATGTGTTAGGCATTTTGGTATTGCAAACAAGGACAGGACTTATATAGTTAATGGTAGGGCCCTGGATAGTGTTGTAGAACAGAGAGACCTAGGGGTTTGGGTACATAATTCTTTGAAATTTGTGTCATACGTAGAAAGAGTGGTTAAGCATGCTTGCCTTCATAGCTCAGACCTTTGAGTAAAGGTGTCGGGACATCATGTTGACGTTGTACAGGACATTGGTAAGGCCTCTTCTGGAATACTGTGTGTATTTCTGGTTGCCCTGTTATGGAAAGGATATTATTAAACTGGAGAGGGGTCATAAAAGATCTATGAGGATGTTGCAGGGAATGAGGGGTTTGAGATATAAAAATAGGCTGGAAAGGCTGGGACTTTTTTCACTGGAGCATAGGAGGTTGAGGGTTGACCTTATTGAGGTTTACAAAAATTATGACAGGCATAGATAAAGTAAATGACAATGGTCTTTTCCCTAGGATAGGGGAATTCAAAACTAGGGGGTATATTTTTAAGGCGAATGGAGAGTGTTCGTGTGTGAAATGATCTGCCGGAGGAAATGGTGGATGCAGGTACAGTTAGAATGTTTTAAAGACATTTGGATAAGCTCATGAATAGATAGGCTTGGAGGGATATGGGCCAAGCACAGGCAGGTGGGACTAGTTTTGTTTGGGAACATGGTCAGTGTGGACTGGTTGGACCAAAGGTGTTGTTTCCATGCTGTACGACTCTATGACTTGGGAGACCTAGCAGTGCAAGTTCATAATTCCTTTAAAGTGGAGGTGCAGGTAGATATGATAGCGAAGAAGGTGTTTGGTATGCTTGCCTTTATTGGTCAGTGCATTGAGTATAGGAGTTGGGAGATCATGTTGTGGCTGTACAGCTGCAGAATTGCACACAGTATTCCAAAAGTGGCCTAACCAATTCTGGTCTCCCTGCTATAGGAAGGATGTTGTGAAACTTGAAAGGGTACAGAAAAGATTGACAAGGACATTGCCAAGGTTGAGGATTTGAGATATAGGGAGAAGCTGAATAGCCTGGGGCTATTTTCCCTGGAGCATCAGAGGCTGAGGGGTGACCCTATAGAGGTTTATAAAATCACGAGGAGCATGGATAGGGTAAATAGACAAGGTCTTTTCCCCAGGATGGGGGAGTCCAAAACCAGAGGGCATAGGTTTAAGGTGAGAGGGGAAAGATTTAAAAGGGATCTAAGGGACATCTTTTTAATGCAGCGTGTGTATGAGCTGCTAAAGGAGATGGTGAAGCTGGTACAACTACAACATTTAAGAGGCATCTGAATGAGTATATGAATGGGAAGGATTTAGAGGGGATCTGGGCCAAATGCTGGCAAATGGGACTAGATTTATTTAGGATATCTGGTCAGCATGGACGAGTTGGACCGAAGTGTCTGTTTCCATGCTGTACATCTCTATGACTCTGTAACTCTAAATTCTTTACCCTCCGAGAAAAGAAATTCCTCGTCATCTCTGTTTTAACTGATTTACTCTGAGATTATGGCTTCTGGGACTCTCCCACAAGGGAAAATGATCTTACTTGCGTCTACCCTGTCAACCCGTAAAAATCATTTATGTTTCAATGACTTCACCTCTCATTCTTCTAAACTCCAATGAATATAGTTTGCCTGTTTTGAGCGGGTGGATAGAGAAGCACATAGGATCATAGACTTCATAAAGTGGGAAAGCTATGCTGTACCTTCATAAAGAACTGGTTAGGACACAACTAAAGCATTGCATCCTGTTCATAATTGTCACCATGTGAATGTTCTTGAGATATGCTGAGCAAAGATGAGAAAATTTATCTGCAACGTTTTGTCAGAGATGCTGAGATTTTCTTCCTTGGAGCTGAGATTGAGGATAGTTTTGATAGACGTGCACACAATTATGTCAGATTGGAATAAGGTAGCTAAAGAAAACCTTCCTGTTATGTGATGGTACAAGAACTCAGGGGCATAGGTTTAAAGTTTTGGGGAAGAGAGGAAGGGGGATGAGAGGATGAACTTTTTTTTGCAGAGAGTGGTCATGGGCTTAGATGGGTTAGATGGGCTTCAGATTGGTTTCACAGGTCGGCACAACATCGAGGGCTGAAGGGCCTGTACTGCACTGTAATGTTCTATGTTCTATGTTCTATGACCCGGAATTTGCTGCCCATGAGGGAGCAACAGCAATAGGACAATAACTAATTATTTTTGTGACATTGATTGAGGGTAAATATTGCCTAGAATACAGGGAGAA